GGTGGCGGGGGGTTGTCGGTAACACCCCGTACCGTACCGCGCTCAATTTCCTACGAGCAAACATGGCAACGCGATCTCGCACACACACACTCTCACAATCACACACACACACACACCTTGTGCCGCCTTTACCACTCTTGCGAGGCTCGCAGCTAAAGGCGAGTGAAGGGAAAAGCGGCGGGTAACGCTGGTTGAGGAGAGGAGGGGGTAGGCGTATTATGGTGGGAAGATGTTCGTGATAAGGGTGCGGCCTGCCGTGTCGCGAGGAGCCGAGCCGCTCGCTGCCCCACCTCTGTGCCATGTGGTCTTTGGCGATGTGGTGCAACGCGACGGGGGTGTTGTCTTTGGACGTCGTGCCATCGGCTTGCATGGTCTCTGAAACTCCTCGACCATCGCCTCTTTCTGTTTTGTTCCCAATTTATCGGTGAGTTTTCATAACACGAACGACCCGACCCGACCTGTTCACAACTTCAACGCTTAGAATTATTCAAGAAAGAGAGGAGCAAAATTGTGGAGCCCTCTTCCCATAACTATATTGTATTTGTGCGCCCCGCTTTAGAGGCGAGGGGGAGAGGGGCTCCGCATTGTGGGAGTTGATATCTCTCCATGACACGCGGCGTACGGCAGAGCACCCGGGCCAACCCTACCGGGCGCGACGCCCTGCTCCTCAACGCTACCCTCCATGTACCCCCCCCCCTCCCCCCCTCTCTCTCTCTCTGTCTCTCTCTCGCTCTGTCTCTCTCTCTCGCTCTGTCTTTCGCTCTCTCCCTCTCCCTCTCCCTCTTGTCTCTCGAACGCTTCACCTGGCTGTCCGGCCCGCCGGGTCCCGGATGTCGACATGCTGTGCTGTCCGGTGTGGTCCCCCCCCCCCCCTCTAGTCTGGCTCGATTGGTTGACGCTCACGGCAGTAAATTCCACGGCAAGGTCACCCCGTGTGCAATACCCATTCTCACCCAACCGCATTTGTGCACACACACACATACACACACAAACTTGGGACCCCAGAGGTGGATGTGCTGGATTGTACTCCGAGCGGACTGCTGCCCATTCCCCGAGTCAAAGCACAGTACCCCAAGGAAAATTCTCGCTCGTAGTCGGAGTGCGTTGTGTGGGTTATTGTCGAGAATTTCTCTGAAATTTCGTTTTATTTCCTCGTCTCTGTTGGTAAGCCCCCTAAAGTACCTCTCGCCCCCCAGGTAACAGGCGTCAGGCACGCCCTATTTGACGTTTTGCTCGGCGAGTGCGGGCTCTGTTATCAGCCCCCCCCCCCTCCCTTCCCCCGCAGTGAGTCCTATCGGGAGAGGAGGGAGGAGGGGAGGAGAGGGGGCGCCGCTCGAGCGCGAGTCTCTTATCACCGGCAAGGTCGCACGGACTGTATCCCGCGTCGGGACAGGCGAGACGTGTGTGTGTGTGTGTTAGTGTGTATGTGTGTGAAGGCCGCGAAAGTTCGGCGATGATGCGATGGAGCGGCAGCTCTGTACACTCCGGCTCACGCCCTGGTCCTGGTCCACTCCCGCCGCCGGCGGCGGCGTGCGCGGGCGCGGGTGGGGTGGGGTGGGGTTGTGGAGGTCATGTCATGTGGTACAGGTGCGCGAGATGGGCAGAAGTGAGTCACTCCCCGCCGCGTTGTCAATAATATGTGTTCACTACGGTTCACTACGTCGTTTGCGGGAATCAGGGTCGAGGAGTGAATGCGCGTCGTAGGTCGGGCTGGGCTGGGTCGAGATGGGTTTACACCAAACGCAGCTGCTTCCTGGTCTCAATGCGCGCGCGGGTCGGAAGCGCGTTCGCTTTGGGCTCCCTGTGGCGTGGTCCGCAGGATGAGGCGTCCGTCAGGTCAAGGTCTCTGCGCCCGCGCAACGGGCGGCGGCGGAGCGGCTCGCGTACACTCACACTCACACACTCACAATCACACACACACACACGCGCGAGCTGGGCCTGCTGCTCCGCCCAGGTGTTCACGTAATGGCAATAAAATGTCCCGCCGGGGGTTTGGAAACGAGTTCAGCCCGGTCCTGGCGCGGGCCGGGCGGGCGCGGCGGGCCGGGCGGGCGCGGCGGGCGCGGCGGTCACACACAGGTGCCTCGGCCCGCCGACAGGACCCCGACGGGACCGCGGCAGGACCCACCACCACACACGGCCGTGCCCGCCCAGTCCAGTCAGCATGCGGCAGGCCGGAGTCCTGCTGACCCGAGTGGCACCCAGGTATAACTATTCAGAGGATGAGCCGCAAGACTCGCGTTGCTGGATTCTGACTTCGAGTATGACGCAATGAGTGTGAGTGTGAGTGCAGTGCATGAATGTTGCGAATTGCGTTGCGTTGCCCGCCGTCGTTGGTCTTCATTTTTGTTGGTGTTTATGCGATTTGGAAACGCCGTATAAAGCCAGTCGGCTGTCGTCGTCAAAGATCTCAGTACTCAAAATCCAAATTCTTTTGCCATTGCTAATACTGTGCGAAGGTTGAAAATGTTGTTCCTTGAGCTCAGGTGGTCGTGTCGAATTGAGGCCAGGTCGTGAGTGGGCTACGGTTTGACAGACTATAGACAGCGTTCCTCTTCTCTAGGATTGTTGGTGTGAATATCCCTATAACGTGACGTTCGTGGGCTGCCGCTATAGGATGGCTAAACGCGTCGGTATGTCCATGCGGGTATAATCAGGAGGGGTACATTGGTGACTGGAGCTGCTGCTGCTGCGGCCTGGAGCGGGCTGGGGACTGGAGAACATGTGGCATGAGGAGTCGGCGACCGGTTCTGTCACCCGCGTGCGTGCTGGATATGGGACTGCTCTGGAGCCGATTAGCGTCCCGATGATATATTATAATAATTACTACCACTACCCCACTTTGGTATTTTTTTCTTCTCAAACATTTTTGCTCGACTTTCAAAAGATGTCATGTGTATATAAATTGCTCGTGGCAAATAACAAACGAGACCAGCGCGCTTCTTATTTTTTCCCCATCTCTTTCGTCCGTGCATTCTCTCGTCTGCCCTGCTGCCGCTGAGCTGCCCTCTCTTGCTTGGAATGACAGAATTATAT